TTTTGGAACCATCTATTTCACTTCAAGTAATTATTCTTACACAGAAAATCAGATATGTATGCAAAGACATATGAGCAAGGATGATTTTCATAGTATATCTTATATATGAGAGAAAACTAGACTGTCCAGACAACTATGGTTAAATCATAGTTTGGTGCATTCACAGAAAGGACTATCACAGAGTCATTTAAATGTGTGCAACAGAACTTGGTGCAATGACAAAGATATTCCCAATATGTTTTCAAAGAAAGAGAGCAGGCACAAAACAGTGTTTCTCAGCAGCTTTTTGGGGTTTTTTAAAATCTTTTTATATGGATAGGAAAAATTCTAAAAGGATGAATGAATCATAATTTTTAAAAGTTTAAGAATTATCTTTTTCCACAATAGCAAAGTATTACTTATACAATAAAACATAGATAGGTTTTCCTTGGGGTTAATGTCCCCTCTCCAATCAAGCCTCCAGTTGATATAGGCCAGTCTTTCCCTGGGACAAATTGGGATGGTTACTCTGCACAAGTGAACCCAGACTTTTATTTTGTGCTAATAACCTCTTTCATGGGCAAGTTATCAAGAGTCTAGAAATTATATGTTGAAAATTGTAATTGTGAGGACTTTAGCTGTGACAGAACTCCATCTGGGAGAGGATTCAGTGGCACGGCTGAATCTAGATGCTCCAGCCACATCTTCCTCCAGACTCAGGTCCCTTCCTTGGTCTCTCAGCTCTGCTTGCGTCTGTGGTCACTTCTCCTGCAGGCTCTTCACACAGTGGTGAGATAGTTGTTGATAACCCAGCCCGTTAGCAGGCTATTGAGCTGCTCTGTTGCAAAAACTCCTAGTAGAATCCCAGAATGGAGTTTCACTCAGTGTGACTGGCCTTCCCCCGCTTATCACGAACTAACCCCTGTAGCGAGGGGAGTGCAATTCTTAAGTGCCCACGTTCCTGAATGAATTGCATCCAAGCTGTCTCAGGCCATAAGGGAAGGGGGACCCTCTACAACTCTAGATTTTGTGTTTACACCAAGATGTTTCTTTTTGGGGGCACCTCATTTGCCCCAGGTCAGTTCACTATTGACAAAGGGATAACTGCACAGATTCTCATTGTTCTTTGCAGAATCTCCGATTTTTTTTAACTTTGCAAAGCCACAAAGGCAGCTGCTGGAGCAACTTTGCATTGTATTGTTCATCAAATAATGTTAATGATTGATGACTTCTGTGATTCTCAGTTGTCACAACGGACGGGGAATTGATGTTGGGAGGAAGGGAAGACTACATGCCATGCTGGTGTCTAGGCTGAGTTAGACAGAATAAAATAAAACAAATGGGCAGAAGGCATGAGACCAGGCACTTATTTAGACAGAATAAATACTCAGTGGATTTATCTGCTCTCTGCCTCCTAAATCATTAAATAAATTTCAGTCATTATGGCCCATGAGAACCTCATATGAACATCTCAAAAGAACCGTTTTCTCTACCAGTTGGTACCTACTGCATCCAGTATTTCATAAGCAGAAGGGCACCACTGATGTGGTAGTTTGGCTTATCACCAAACACACTTCAGAAAGGAGACCATGAGAGGACCAGATTTCATCCACAATATCCAAATGGATTTTTTAAAACTCCAGTTTTGCATGTTGAAACAATCTGGCTTTCTAACCATTAATGTAGTATTTTGAAAGAAGAAAGAAGAAAATGTCTGCTTCTACAGAAGTACTTAATGTCAAGAAGTAACTATCAGAACCTATTTTAATGCTGATTATATCATCACAACTCTCAAGAATGGCTTACTACAAATAGTTCCTCATACCATGTGACATTTCTGTTCATGTGGTAAGTTTAAAAATATTTCATGAATGTCTGGATGGTTTTATGACAACAAGTGATGGGGTCAGATTTCTGGATTTTAAAACTTCCCAGCAAGAATATTATTCAGACTTAAAAAAGGGAGGAGGTTCTGACACATACTACAATACAGATGAAACCTGAGGACATTTTGCCAAGTGAAATAAGCCAAAAGGATAAATTCTGTATGACTCCACTTTTACATGAGGTTCTCAGAGTAGTCATAGAGACAGAAAGTAGAAAGGTGGTTGCCAGAGGCTGGGGGAGGGAAGAATAAGAAGTTAATGGATACAGAATTTCAGTTTAGAAAGATGAATGGTAGTGATGATTGCAAAATAATGCAAGTGAACTTAATGCCACTGAACTGTACACAAAACTGGTTAAAATGGTAAATCTTATGTATACTGTATTACACACAAAAATTTTTTACTTCCTACAGTGGAAGACTATATTTTTCCTTCAGAGTGTTTAAGGAAGTAAAGGTTTTTGTTAATTTTAAGAAAAAATTAATATTAAATGTAGTAAAAACTAGACCCCCACCAGGTCAAAACCGCTGGCCCTATACCCATAGACCCTAGACCAGCTGGAGTTGGAAAATTGATGATGGAGCTTCCTGAAATACCACCCTGTCACCTCACTGTCTACCAATCAGAAAATTGTCTATGAGCTGATTAGGTTCCCTTCAAATTTCACCTTTAACACTGTCTCTATAAATCTTTCCCAGGGAGTTCTGGTCTGTTGAGCATTAGCTGCCCATTCCCCTTGCTTGGAACCCTGCAGTAAATACTGTACTTTCCTTCACCACAACCCAGTGCCAGTATATTGGCTTTGCTGTGCGTCTGGTGAGCAGAACTGAGTTTGTATTAGTAACACTCCCCCTCTAAAATCAAGAACAAGACAAGGATGCCCACTCTCACCACTTTTATTCAACACAGTATTATAAGTCCTAACCCATGCAACTAGGCAAGAAAAAGAAATAAAAGACATTCAAATTGGAAAGAATGAAGTAAAACCACCACAATACGAAGATGGAATAATTTTATACACAGAAAATCCTTAAGATTCTACCAAAAAATCAATAAAAATAATAAATGAATACAGTAAAGTTACAGGGTACAAAATCAATATACAAAAATCTATTGCATTTCTACATGCAAACAATTAGGTAGCAGGAAGAGAAATTAAGAAAACAACCCCATTTAAGATCACAACAAAAAGGATAAAATATCTTGGAATAAATTTAACGAAAGAGGCAAAAGACTTGTACATTAAAAATTGTAAGATACTGTTGAAAGAAATTGAATAATACACAAATAAATGGACAGATAGTTCATGCTTATGGATTGGAAGCATTAACATTGTTAAAATGTCAATATTACCTATGCAGACAGATTCACTATGATCCTTATCAAAATTCCAAGGACATTTTTCATAGAAATAGAATTTAAAATTCTAAAATTTATATGGAATCACAAAAGACTCCAAATAACCAAAGCAATCCTGAGAAAAATGAACAAAGCTGATTTCAAGCTATATTACAAAGTTATAAGCATCAAAACAGCATGGTGTTGGCAGAAAGACAGTTAAACAGATCAATGGAACATAAATGAGAGCCCAGAAATAAAACTACACATATATGGATACTTAACTTACAACAAAGGAGCAAAGAACATCTAGTGGAGAAAGAATAGTCTCTTCAATAAACGTTGTTGGGAAAACTGAATGGCCACATGCAAAAAACTGAAAGTAGTCCAATATTCACCACACACAAAAATCAACTCAAAATTAACTAAATACTTTGAGTGAATGCAAGACTTGAAATGATAAAACTCCTAGGAAAAAATATAGGAAGTATGATCTTTGACTTTGGTCTTAGCAATATATTTCTGGCTATGTCTCCTCAGGCAAGGGAGACAAAAGAAAAAAAATGGTACTATATCAAACTAAAAAGCTTTTGCACAGAGAAGGAAACATCAACAAAACAAAAAGACAACCTACTGAATGAGAGACGGCATTTGCAAATCATATATCTGATAAGGGGTTAATATCAAAATACACAAAGAACTGACACAATTCAACAACAACAGCAAAACTCTTTTTAAAAAGACAGAAGCGATGAATAGATATGTTACAAGAAAGTCATAAATATGGTCAACAGGCTCATGAAAAGATGTTCAGCATCCTTATTGTAATGGCTATCATCAAAAAGTCAAGAAATAATGAGTGTTGATAAGTTTGCAGAGAAAAGGGAACCCTTGTGCACTGTTGGTGGGAATGTAAACTGGTGAAACCATTATGGAAAACATTATGGGGATCCCTCAAAAACATAAAAATAGAACCATCATATGATCCAGCTATTCCACTTCTGGGTAATTATCCAAAGAATATGAAAACACTAATTTAATATATACGTGTGTGTGTGAGTGTGTGTGTGTATACACCTCTATTTTCACCACAGCATTGTTCACAATAGCCAAGATAGGGAAACAAAACAAGTGCCCATCAATGGATGAATGGGTAAAGATGTAATACACACACACACACACACACAATGAAATATTACTCAAGTCACACAAAAAAAAGAAATCCTGCCACTTGGAACAACACGGTTAGAGCTTGAGGGTATTACGCTAAGTAAGATGAAGAAAGACAAATTCTGTACAATTTCACTTATATGTGGAATATAAAAAAAAACCCAGATGAACCAAAACATAAAATAAATGAACCGAACCAAACCAATATGGAGATACAGATTAGCAGAGGGGAAGAGGCAGAGGGAGGGTGAAATGGGTAAAGGAGATCAGCTGTAGGGTGATGGATAGAAACAAAATTTCTGTCGGTGAGCATGCTGTAGCGCATACAAGGCAGAAATAGGTGGAACACGCGAAACCCGGAAAGTGTTATAAACTAAAGTTACCTCAATAAAAAGTAAATTTTAAAAAAGTTTGCAGGGTAGTTTTAATGACAATTGTGAAATAAGTTTTGTAGAAATTCTCAATCACTCTTTTTAAGACCTGTTTCACAGAGAACTCTGTTTCCAAGGTCTGGAAGTTAGCGATCCTAACCTGTGTTTCAAATTCATCCACAGGTCTTCCCTTGACTCCTTCGCAGTACACAAATTCCCCATCAGACGAAATGCCAAAATTACACATGACGCTTACCAGATAGGCTCTCCAGAAGGACTGAATGCAGAGTGCCGCTTCCGATTCTGTCAGTAGGAGGGAGAGTGGGATTGCCGGCCGTGGGCTGAAAGGCAATAAAATGGTCATAAGCCCATGAGAATCCGTCTGACAGCCTCAGCAGAGCCTTTGACAACATAATGGCCTCTCTGATTAAGTGCCTCATCCAGTCCCATTCTTAGAAAGCAACAATGTCATTTTTCATAGAAAAGTTTAGGCTTGAGTTAGCATTTCTTTGTTTTAAAATCTTGGATGGAATTTTTTTTTCTTTTTTAACCAGCATACTCTTAAATCACTATTAGCCTGCTCTGCTTTGAAGGGCTCGGGTTGGAAAGCTGCATATGTGACCATAAAGCAAAAGAAAAAGCAGAAGCCACCTTTAGATACAGCATCATGACTGAGATGTAACAAAGGGCTCTATTTTGGAGGGAAATTAAGTAGCTCATTTCTTTCCTGAAATACTGCAATTTTCTCTGATTGGTGTACATTCCGGTTTAATGTGGTTAAAAGTCAAGCACATTTTAAAGTTAAGTTCTTCTGTTACATCTTAACGAGCAATAAAATATCTCAAGTACTGGGTAAATTGACAGTGTCTGCTCTTGTGGGATTCTAAGATTATGATGGGATTTCTGATCATGGATACTACATTTAAAATGACTAAATGCTCTTTTTTTGTTATTTCCTTAAAGCTGTTTAGAGATCACTAACTGCTGACGAGATTTTACAAGTCTGACTTAATTCTGATTCCTTATGTTTCCCCAAAGCACTGCTATCTCTGAAAGACCAAAAGTCAAGACTTTTCGGATACAACGCAAAGAAATAAATCCTTGAAAGAATGTGGGTGACATGGAGGCTGCTCTCTGGGCAGGATCCCCAGAAATGACTTTGCGTGTAGGGGATCCCCGAGAATCTTGGCTGCAAGGCTCTCCCTGATGACAGCCATCACTTGGGCTTACAGCCACTCTCACTGTGTATGGAGAGAGGTCGACTAACCTGCCTGGGGTCACACAGCTTGTAAGTGGCCTCATCAGCATCTGGATCCAGACTCACCCAATTCCCCAAGCCCAGGCTTCCCTCACAATTTGTGCTGACACCAGCCCTCCGCTGGGCCACCTCTTGCAGATGTCCAGCCCGACAGACTCCAGAGCTAACAGGCAACAATGCACAGTTCTCTAGGATCTGGGGTTTTATTTCCCACTACACTCAGACTTAAAAACAACAAAAAATTCCACCCTTGATACAGTATATTTGTGATTAATGAATACTCTTTCGGATTACTCCAAAATCAAAGAAATCAAAGCCAGAAAGAACCTGATGGGTGATCAGGACCATTTCTAGCAAGTGCAGTGTTGCCAGGTCATGCGTCTCCAGCTGGGTGGGTCTTTTTTAAGAGACCAAGGAAAGGAGAGTCTACTTCTTTGGAGAGAGTATTACAACCTCCAAATGATAGTGCTGCTAGAAACCTTTCCCTAATGTGTTTTTATTTGCTTTTTTGTTTGTTCTGTTTTTTCCCCCACTTTTTTTTGCCTAATATCTAGTTTTCTGGGCTTTAAGAGAGCATTTGTGTTTTTCTAGAGGCACGTGGTCTCCCTGCTTTCCCATTAAACGTCTTTCCTTGTACATTGCCCTTATTCTATAAATCTCAGTTGTGTGACACCAGCAAATCACATCCCTGAAGGAATTTCCCTTCACTAGTTAAAAATCAACAGCATCTAGAGAAACCTCGGTGTTTCTGAGGAGACCTTGGTGTGCTGGCAGTGACTTCATGAGAATAATGCTATCGTGCATCAGTGCCAGCTGACATGTGCTCAGAGCACCCTGACTCCCCTCCCACCAGCCTTGTTCCTTGGCTCCAACCAGAGGGGCCCTTTTCATCTCCTCCCATGTGCCCTCCCACCTCAGGGCCTTGGCAGAGGGGCTTTCCTCTGTCTCCAGTATCCTCTTACTTCCAGCTGGATCACTGCATACAGTTGTGCAAGTTGTTCTCTGCTCACAGGCTCCCCGCAGATGGGCCACAGGGCACTGAAATGCCAGCACACGCTCCGCCACTTCTGTTCTAGGGCATAGGCCCTTTTTCCTAACTTGCTCAAAGGTGCATTGGGGCTGAAACCGCTTTCTCCCAGTTTACTCAAATTCTTTCTTCTGAACGCCACTCAAACATTATGAAACGATGTGCTTTGATTAGATCAGGGCCACTGTATAATTTTCCTTCCTAGTCCTTGGCCCAATTTGGAGATATAAATCTGTGTGATTGTCTAACACCCAAATCCTCAACTGGACTGAAAGCTCCATGAGAGCAGAAACTGGGCCTGCGTTTGCTCCTCTGGCATTTCCAGCAGTTGGAAGCATGTCTGGCACATAGGAGATACTCAATAAATCTTGGTGGGATGAGCCTCTGCTTGGCCCAATGCGCTAAGCTCTTTCCACACGTTGTTTCATTAAATCCTCACAATATTAATAATGAGCTGTTGTTGTCCTTCTTTTAGAGTGAAGAAACTCGGGCATAGAGGGGTGACATAAGTCTTTCAAGGTCACTGGCCCTTTCCTGCTGAGAATTTAAACTGCCCAGGAAAGTGGCCATAGGAAGCGGTCCACAGAAAAGAGGAAGACAACTCAAAAGTTCTTTCACGTGGAATTCGGGGTCTAGCAGCTGTGAATGTTCAACAGAGGAAAGCACAGCCATTTGCCTGAAAGGAAAAAATGAGCGGGGAGAAGTCGTAATCATTGAAAATGCTCTCTTGATTAATTCTTACAGCAATAACTTGGCAGGTGTTCATTTGCCTGACGCTCCACAGAGAGATCCAGTGTCAGGACAGCAGAACAAAGTGGAGCGTGTTATGAGCATCTGAGGAGAGGCTTGCTGGGGCCTTTCTGTGGAGCTGCAATTTTCCCGTTTTCAGTATATTTCTCTGTACTGAGATCATGAAATCCTCAAAGTATCAGTATCCCCGTTTTGGAAAAGCCGTAGGATAGGAGAGGAGATGGAGAATCTGGGGGCACGACAGGCCCGGTCAGTCCAACAAAGGGCGTCCAGTAGTAATGAGACCCCAAATCACTTTGCATCACAATGGCATCTCCAAAAAGCAAAATAAGATTTCTACTACGCCTTTAAGCAGTAATGTGAGGCCACCTTTAATGACACCCTGGCTTTCATGGTGAAATAATGGGGCTCTGTCTAGTTCTTGATGAAAGTGAAAGAGGAGAGCGAAAAAGTTGGCTTACAATTCAACCCGCAGAAAACTAAGATCATGGCATCCGGTCCCATCACTTCATGGCCAATAGATGGGAAAACAATGGAAACAGGGACAGACTTTATTTTTGGGGGCTCCAAAATCACTGCAGATGATGACAGCAGCCATGAAGTTAAAAGATGCTTGATCCTTGAAAGAAAAGCTATGACCAACATAAACAGATATTAAAAGCAGAGACATTACTTTGCCAACAAAGGTCTGTCAAGTCAAAGCTATGGATTTTCCAGTAGTCATGTATGGATGTGAGAGTTGGACTATAAAGAAAGCTGAGTGCCAAAGAACTGATGCTTTTGAACTGTGGTGTTGGAGAAGATTCTTGAGAGTCCCTTGGACTACAAGGAAATCCAACCAGTCCATCCTAAAGGAAATCAGTCCTGAATATTCATTGGAAGGACTGATGCTAACTCTGAAATGCCAATACTTTGGCCACTTGATGCGAAGAACTGACTCATTAGAAAAGACCCTGATGCTGGAAAAGATTGAAGGTAAGAGGAGAAGGGGATGACAGAGGATGAGACAGTTGGATGGCATCACCAACTTGATGGACATGAGTTTGAGTAAACTCCAGGAGTTGGTGAAGGACAGGGAAGCCTGGTGTGCTGCAGTCCATGGGGTCGCAAAGAGTCAGACACAACTGAGTGACTGAATTGAACTGTCTAGTTCCCAAACCAAGAATAAGCATGAGTCAGAGAAGATGAAGAGAACTTAACCTTCGGAAAGGAGTCCCTAGGAATTATCAGTCATTTTAGCAGCCCAGCTCAAAAGGATAGAAGCCATGCCAAGCCTTTACTCTCTCTTGGAATCAGTGCAACTGGCTTCAGGTCAAATAAAAATTGAGATCGAGTAGAGGTGACTGCTCATCTTTGGGGAACTGGGGAGGGAAGGGGAAACAAGAGTGTCAATCCCAGGAGAAGGCAGCTGAAGCTTCCAGGGGCTTAAACTGGACCCCCCACCCACCCCCGAGCAAATAGGTTTGAGCATTCCAACGGCGCAACAGTGCTGCTGAGTGTTTCCAAGAATTGTCTCATGGGTAGTATGCATTTGTAACATCCTCTTTTTTTTCCCCTCAAACTTGAATTAAATCTATTTGAATCACAACAATGAATCCTGTAATTTTGAGAAGGAACAAGAATTTACTCTTCTGACTGCATACACGTGTATGTATAAATACACACATGTACATGCGCACACACACACATTTCTTCCCCCGCTCCCCACAATATATGGAGGGTCAGTAAAATATTTCGGGCCTAGAGAAGTTATGGCATACTCACAAAATACATAAGAGAATCTGAGAAGTTAGTCTTTATTAATTTCTCCATCCAGTTGCAAGATGAAAGTTACCATCTGAAATGGCATTTATGGTCTATGGCCATACCACTCTAAATGCGCCCAATCTCGTCTGAAACGGCATTTATGAAGACGAAAGCAGAAAGGAGAATGGCTTGCTCTATATTGAAAACTGAATCTTGAAACCCAAATTTATTTTCATTAGGTAAAAGATTAAGTTGTTTTCTTGTAACATGAAAGAACAAGCTAGATTTAAAGCCATTTACAAAATGACACTGGCCTTAAAATCAACCATTATTCATAAAACCTTTCACCAATTCATAGGGCTGGCATTTGAAAACCTCTACTCATGGTATTCAGCAAAAGAGATTACCCAGTCCCTGCCCTCAGCCTTAATTGGTTTCCCAAACATTGTATGGGAATGGAGGCAATGTATGGTGATGGAGGCATCACCATCTTGAGTAACGAACCTAATATTTGGATGAAGTACAATAGAGTAGTGGTCCCCAACTTTTTTGTCACCAGA